GGGTGTGCAGCTCTCTGACGGGGGACAGTGGTGGCCCGTTTGCTGTTAGAATCCCCTCTTCACGGTGCGCCTCTCCCAGTCTTGTCCACGCTCAGAATGGGTTGTTTGCTTTTTTCTTTTTAAGATTTTAAAAATGTATTTGTTTTAGGGGGGAGGGGCAGAGGCAGAGGGAAAGAATTTCAAGCAGACTCCCCGTTGAGCAGCGAGCCTGAGGTGGGGCTCGAGGTGGGGCTCGATCCCACCACCCCGAGATCATGGCCTGAGCCGAAACCCGAGGGCTGGTTTCAGCGGACTATGCTATGCAGGCGCCCTGATTGTTTGCTTTTTTACTGTTGAATTTTGAGAATTTTTAAATATAGTTTAGAGTCTAGTTTTTTGGAGATGTTCAGGGTGCAAACATTTTCTCCCGCTCTGAGCTGGTCTGGTCCTCTGACCCTTTTAATGGATCGTTCACAGAACAAAAGCTTTAATTTTGGTGAAGTCCAGGCATGTTTTCCCCTTCGTGGATTGTGCCTCTGATGTCCAGTCTAGGAATGATTTGTCTAGCCTTTGATTTCCCACCAATTTTCTTTTTTTAAGTTTTATGTTTGTATTTTTTAAATTTTTATTTCTTTTTTTTTTAATGTTTGCATTTAAATCCGTCCTCCATTTTAAGTTAATTTTTCAGTGTCTGCGTGTTAGCCGCATCTAGGCTGCCTTGCCTTATTAGATAACAGAGGAAGGAGCGGGTCAGAGAGCAGGTGCATCTCCTGGGCTTACACCAGCCGCTGCCCTGCTCACACTCGCACATTCCCAGTCAGGATGACCTCCACGGCACGGCTGTGTGAGTGGCCCTGGCTGCGTGTTCAGGATTCTTGACTCAGCCTCTGTGCGGTGCACAAAATGACAAAGTGATGTATGTATGCAAACTAAGTGGTTTCCGTGTCCTGTTCATGTTGGGCTCAGGTGCAGAAATTGCTTAGATGTGAATTTTGTTCCTACTATGATAGAAGTACTTGTCAACTCATAAGCCACTCTTGAGTTCTTTTTTTTTTTTTTAAGATTTTATTTGTTTATTTGACAGACGGAGATCACAAGTAGGGAGAGAGACAGGCAGAGAGAGAGAGAGAGAGAGAGAGAGAGGAGGAAGCAGGCTCCCTGCTGAGCAGAAGGTCTGATGTGGGGCTGGGTCCCAGGACCCTGGGATCATGACCTGAGCCGAAGGCAGAGACTTTAATCCACTGAGCCACCCCGGTGCCCCCACTCTTGAGTTCTTCATTCAGAAAAACAGCCAATCGTTTTGTTCAAAGAAACTTAGAAGGGTACAGCTGGAAGGGATCATGGGAAGAGCGCTATCTCAGTGTTTCCCAAAGTGTGCTCCATGGAACACAGAGGTACCCTGTGGCAAAAGAGTTCTAGGGCCCAGTGGGCGTGGGGCTACATACCTCTGTTCCTCTCCTTCCGCTTCATAGGATCATGATCCTTAACACTTTGTTAAAGGTTTTGAGGGGGCTTGTCATCGATGACTATGTTCAGTGCTAACTCAGTGCTTCCCATTTATTTGCCCCCTAACCCTGCTTTACCCCCACACAGGACATGCTTTTTCTGGTGTCTGCATTTTAGAGTTGGAGAAATGAAGGGCCCCCAGTGTTGAGGGCTTCCTGGGCCCCACCCCCACTCAGGGTGTGCTTTCCCATCACCTCCCCCTGCCTCTCCTGCAGCCACCTGCTGAGCCCTGGCCCTGGCCGGAACCGCAGCACAGGAAGCCCCAGACAGGGAGCAGTGAGTTGGGGCACCAGAAGACTCCTGAGTCAGCCCTACATCGCCAATGTCAAGTGCTGGATGAGACCTGGAGGAGCAGGGCAGCAGTGGTGGCGGTGGTGGGGGTGTCCTAGAGACATTTCATAGCAAGAGTTGGGGGGACTCAGTGAAATGTGTAACGTGTTCACGGAGGGCGGGAGAGGAAGGCAGCCGGGCGCGGGGCTTTCTGCGGGAGGATGGACCCCCTGGCCCCCCCCGGGGAGCCCAGGACGGAGAGCAGGCTGGGAGGAGGGAGGAGAGAGGCGCTTGGTTTGGGGTTGTAGGCCCGGAGCCCCTGGGGCACCGGGCGCCGCGGAAAGGGGCGGCAGGAGGGGGAGGCTACCACGGCCCCGGCAGCTGCGGGAAGAGAGCGGCGGAGGCGCGCCAGTCTCGGGCGGCCCGGACGGGGAGCCCCAGCCCGGAGACGGCCCCCCCGCGCCAGCAGGGGGCGCGTGTGCGGTCCCCGCCGCGTCGCGACACAGTAAAGCGTCTTGGAGACATTATGTAGCCTGACCTTCTGCACCGCAGCCCTCGCAACAAAGTTACTCCAGGCGCGCGCGCGGCGGGGGGAGGCAGGCGGGGCTGCGGGGACGCGCGGCTCCGGGGCGGGGACGAGGCTGGGGATGACAGCAGCCACCCGCGGGGAGGCGCCGGGTGGGGGACGGCGGCGGGAGACAGCTGGGGGTGTGAGGGAGGAGAGGCAGACACAGCGGGCGCTGGGGGACGTGCTCGTTCACCAGCTGGAGAGAGAGAACGCGGGGTGAGAAGGAGCGAGCACGGAGGCAGAGGGAGGCCAGGCTCCCCGCTGAGCAGGGAGCTCCACGCAGGCTCGATCGGCACCTCCGGTTCCTGACCCGAGCTGAAGCCAGGGCTTCCCCCACGGAGCCCCCGCAGGCGCCCCTCATGGGTATTACTTTCAAAATGTTTTATTGTGAAATACACAGAGGGTACGAAAAAACACATAAAAATAATTGTGCAGCTTGAGACTTGCAAGTGAGCAGCAGGCTTACTGGAAGGACCCTTTCCCGGTGTCAAAAGCACCACCCCCCCCCAGCAGTACCCACCATGTGCACTCCTGGTGACCACCTTCTGGCTTACCTTACGATTTTTACTCATTACGCATCCCTAAACAATATAGTTTCATTGTGCCTGTTTTGGAACTTTTATAAATGTAATCATGGAGTATGGCCGTTGGTTTCTTTCACTCAAGGTTCTTGAAATTCATCCGTATTTGCAGGGTCCGCATCTTCATGGCTAGGTTTCAGTTTAGGCGTTCTAGATCCACGCTTGATGGGGATCTGACTGGTAGCCGGTCCTGGGCTCCCAGGCACCCCCTTTCCGTGCTCTGAGGCACGCATTTCAGCAGCTCTACGTGGGGCCATGTGTTAGCTCTTCCAGGTGCTGCCAAACGTTTTTCTCCAAAACGATCGCACTGATGCACACTCCCACAGTGACACTCTTGAGAAAATGAAGTTGTGCATCTGGAGAGCCTGACGAGGGCAAAGGGGAAGAGTCTGACCCTGACAGCCAGGGCCCGTGTCACACTGGTCGTTGCACAGCAAATTAAGGATTTCGGACCGAATGCAGATGGAAATGGGGAGCCAATGAAGGGTTCTGAACAAAGAAGACAAAAAATTGGATTCGTGAGCACACAAAGATGCCTGTTGGGTGGGGAGTCGTCAAGAGTAATTTCAGGGGCTTCTCGGGTGGTCCAGGCCACCTTGAGGGCCAGGGGTGGTCAGCAGAGGATTGGAGAGGGTTGCATGGGCATCCGGGAGGCTGACGCCATGGGACCAACCCCATTCATATCAATGATTTGCTGAAGATCGGCGTCCTTTTCGGTTTCCCTATGGAGGAAATCAAGGTTTCCTGTCACTTTTTTTAGGGACGCCCTTGAGAACTGCAAAGAGCTGGCAGTGAGCCTCTTTAAGATGCTTAACTCCTTGCGGGCAGAGCTCTTGTCTTCGCATCACGCTGGGCGGCAGGAACACTCAGTTCTTAGCACCAGTATGCAGGTAACGCACGTTTATAGGTGGAGGAATGCGCGGGCAAGTGCGTTGAAACACGACGATGAGCAAGTCCGGATGGCATTCCACCTTCAGACTTCCAGTCACCCACCAGTTCGGAGAGAAGGGAGGTAACTCTGGACTGCTTCCCTGGAAAAGGATCCCCAAACAGTTGGATCCAGGGGTCTTGAAGGATGGAGGAGGATTTGGGTAGGAGGGACGACTTTCCCAAGTACAAGGCGGGTAAGTACCGAGACGCACGAGGGAGTATGATGGGGTCCGAGAAAGGCCCCGCAGGGAAACCCTGCGGAGGCCCCAGAGTGCTGGGGAGGAGCCGCGGTTGGATCTCATCATTGATGGCAGCTAAAATTTACCAAAAACTTTACCGTTCAAGGTTTTTTTCCCCAGGATTATCTGGGTGCTTGGCCGGGAGGTGGCGGTGTGGTCGTGTGAGAGGGCCAGCACGCATTCAAGTTCAAGCTCGGGGCTGGGAGCAAGCTTCCCGACAGGCTCGTTTCGTTAATAACTTAAAAAAAAAGCCAGGCGGGGATGCTGGGGCGCGCGGACTCCAACGACACGCCCGCACCGTGTCCAAGCTCCCCAGGCCCAGGTGGGGGTTAGGGTGGCAGGGGCCGTGCGCCCCTCCTCCCCGCCGCAGCCGCCTCTCGGGCCCCCGGCGAGCAGCCAGAACCCGCTCCCCACGCGCGCGGAGGCGGCGGGGAAACCAGGGGTGTGTTTTCTTTTCTTTCTTCCCGGCCTCTGGCGGCAGCGCCGGGCCTGCTCCGCCCAGTCGGGAAGACGTCGCTGCTCTGAGTGGCTGGGAGGGGCCCCCCGCCCCCCGCCCCGCGTCCGCCTCCGCGGCGGGGCCCCCCTCCCCCGCGCTCCCCGGGCCCGCGCCGTTCCCGCCCCCAGTTCGCCGCGGGGCCCGGATCCCACCCCCCCAGCCCAGCGCCGGCTCCCGGCCGCCAGCGCGCCGACCCCGCCCCTCCTCCCCTCCCCCTCCCTCCCCTCGCCTTCGCCCCTCCCTCCCCCTCTTCCTCCCCTCCCTCCTCCCCTCCCTCTCTCTCTCGCCCCTCCCTCCCCCTCTTCCTCCCCTCCCTCCTCCCCTCCTTCTCTCTCTCGCACCTCCCTCCTCCCCCCTCCCCCTCCCCCCCGCCCGCCGCCTCCGCCCGCCGCCCCGGCCGCGTCGGGTAAACCTGTTTGGCGAGGCGGCCGCGCCGGGGCGGATCGTGCGGCCGGCGGCTCCCTCCCGGCTCGCGGCGTCGGGGCCCGTGGCGCGCGCGCGGCCGCCCCTCGGCCCCGGAGCCCCTCGGCGGCGCCACCATGTACTCGGGAGCCGGCCCCGGTGAGTCCTCGCGCGGGGGCGCCGGCCCGGCAGCTCGCGCTCGTCCCCGCGGCGCCGGCGGCGGTTGGCGGGCGCGGGCCGGGGCCCGGGGGGCGGGGGGCGGCG